GGGATTTAGCTCAGTGGTTCCGCCGCCTGCCTCACAAGCACAAGGTCCCGAGTTTGATCCCTGGTACCAAAAAACAAAAGAGCTAAGCTTGGGCCAGGGATTTAGCTCAGTGGTTCCGCTACCTGCCTCGCAAGCAGGTCCTGAGTTTGATCTCTGGTACCAAAAAAAAAAAGAGCTAAGCTTTTTGCATTTCATCTAACAGAATACACTAGGCTGTGAAGAAGAAAATGGGCCGAAGGCTGTATATCAACTGTCATAAGGAAGTAACAGGAAGCTGCCTCAAGTGTTCCTGTTAATGTGTCATTAGCCTCAACTAACTGCAAGAGAGGACAGGAGATTAACATTTACCACATATAGCTAATGTGTGTTCTAGAACTTTAAATTGTGTTTACTATAGAAAATAATTCTCCTTTTTTAAACCACTCAACAGTTTCTCCCCCAAGTGTCACTTGGGCAGTGTGTTTGTTTACATACTGTGTATCCCAACCATCGCTTGGGCAGGTGTCATTTTGATTCTTGTATTGAATAAATTTGATAAAAATGTCATTTTTATATTTCCTCTTCTCACAAAAATTAATGAAAAGGTATGCAGTTTCTGGTCATTCTGTATTTAAATAATTGGACTGGTAAGTGGTGAATGGTGAATAGAACCATTGTCTGTACTTCTAAACCTGTATCTATTCCTCTAGGTTTTGTCTTTCACACATCCTACCTCGTTCCACTCTGCAGAGACTTATGAATCCTTGTTACAGTGCCTAAGAATGGAGGATGATAAGGTAGCAGAAGCTGCAATACAGATTTTTAGAAATACGGGCCACAAAATAGAAACAGATCTTCCTCAGATACGATCGTGAGTACATTTTTCAATGGTAAACACAAAAGTTTTTTCAGTGTTAGAGCCATAGAATCATTGTTTCCCTTTCATGTAGGAAGATAGGAAAAAGAAAAGACTTTCATTTAAAAGCTTAGTGGCATCGCACCTGCCTTGCAAGCACAAGGTCCTAAGTTTCATCCCCAGTACCAAAAAAAATAAAATAAAAGGACTTCTTTTGTGTCCTCTTTTATCTCTACCTTGCCTTACCCTACCACCGCTAAAATTTAGGGAGACGAACAAACTTAAACTGTTTCTTTAATCAAGCTATTACTGAATTTAGCAATACTTTAACTTGTGATTAATGTATCTTCCTAATCTGAATATGTTCATATTTTTCTAAGTGGATCCTAAATTTAATAACTGTTACCTTCTTATCCCACCAAAGAATGAGGCAAATAATGTACTTTATGAAATACTTAGTAGTTGCATGTTTATTGGCACTGGTGCTTATGTTACCTTGATCTTTCCCTGTTGCTCAGTTTCCCTCTCATAAGAAAGAAGTACATTTTGGTATTTTCACTTTGTTATCTTGAAGAGATTTCCTTTAGGGTTACACTTGTGCTAAGAGTTTGGATTTTAACTATGTGGGAGACATCTTTTGGAAGAGGTACACTGCTCATATTTGTGGAATCAGGTATACAGGGGATATGCAAGTAATTTATGGTATATCTAAACACAAACCAATTCTTCATAGGATAATAGACAAATGTACTCCTGACATTTTTATTAAATTTGTGAGCTAATAATTTGTGAAATAATTCGGTATTTATTTTGCATTGTCTTAATTCTCAGCACTTTAGTGGCGAATGCAAAAGAATTAGTCTTTCCCTGCCTTCAAGGATTTTATAGTCTAGAGGTGATTGTGTGTGTGTGTGTGTGTGTGTGTGTGTGTGTGTGTGTGTGTATGATCTTTGACCTAGTAGTTTA